GTGAAGAGCAGCTCCACAGGAGCTCCTCTCTCCAACGACACCCCAATGATGAGATCAGCAGAGTCTGGACACTGACCTTCCTCTGCTATCACCGAGGCCTGCAGGCCTTCGATAGGCTCCCTCAGACACAGCTCCAGATCAGTGGACACTGGGTGGGCTGTGACCCTGTTAGAGGCAGTTAGTGTCAGGTTGTGGCAGCCATGTCCAACCTTCTCCACCACACTTGCACTCAGCGTAATATTGTGGGGTGTGATTCCTGTGTCCACGGACAGGTTTGCAAGTACATGGTCTCCAAGTTGAATTGTGTAGGAAACATTTGTACCTATTCACAGAAAAAAGGGGGGTCACATTATTCTGTATTTCATTAAATAATTTTTTTGGGAAGCATTTATCACCCTACTGTGTTAGAGTGACTCACCTGCCTCTACCATAACCTGGATCTGAACAGGCCAACCATGGAGCGCATTGCATTTAGTGCCATCTGTTGACATATTCCTGCTATAGCACTTAATGACACCAAACTCTCTAACAGGCTCCTGAACAGTTATGGCTTTCTGGGCTGTAACATGCCAGTCACTGGTAGAACACTCCACTCCAACCATGAAAACACCGGGACGGCTGAATTTGTGCATAATAGTGCTCTCCATCCTGTGAAACAGGAAAAGTTAATGATTAAATACAGTTAAACACAGTTACACAAATCTATGACTGAAGGTAAAGTCTTGCTCACTCCACTGGGCTGTATGGATCAATAGTGTGGCCATCTCCAGCATTCAGTATGCATGTAAGGTTTCCCTGAAAAGGATGAAGGAGCCACTTCACAGTGATGGTGACATTATCAAAGACAGCCACCAGCTTGCTCATCAACAGGTGGAGTCCTGAGAGGAAATGACACCGTCAATTTGAATTTATGTTCATTGGTACAATAAATATAACTTTTTTTATTTATCTAAATCCACTTTTCTAATTAAAAACAGTGAGGCAATAATTTGACTGAGTTGGTCAGCTTGCAAGTCCAGCTTGAGAGGCTACATAGGTCTTTTGGCAAAGTACATGAAAAGGGAAGAATAGAAAATTTGGTTGAAAAGAAGAAAACAAGACATACAGTACATAATCTGAGAGTGACAACATCAACCTCAACTTTGGCTAACTCCAAATGGGCTGTGAACTGCACATAAACCTAAGGAGACCAACTATGTATGGCAATAAAACAAATCAAATATATTGCTAGTTACTGTAATATGGCAACATTTATTTTGTCTACTCTTCTCCAGAATAGTGATCCATAGTATCATTTTAGAGAGGAAAATGCTAAGAGAAAAGGAAAGGAAAAATCTGACCATGTTTGCAGCGGTACTCTACAGACAGGTAACTTCCCAGCACAGGACAGGGTTCACCAAAGGAGCTCAGGTCCACTGGAGCCTGGCACGCCTGCAGTCCGCGGCAATGGGCTGTAATGGCACAGAAGTCAAGTAAATGGCAATGTTTTGTGGACTGACTGAGGGGCCTTGAAAATATTGTTTTTGTAATTTTAAAAAGCACAACACTATTCAATTGTCATCCTACTGAATTTAAATAATCTATAACCCTCTAATGAAAGGGTCTAATATCTCTTTAAAGAGATGTAATAAGCAACTATTTGCTTAGTAATTGCATGAACTCCACCAGCTTAACTAATGCCACTGATATGATGGTGAATGTATATTTACACCCAAAGCCCATCTATTCAGCTCCTAGAAGGGGATTTATCTAATGCCTTTTCTGAATGCGTAATCCATTTGTCTGCAGTCACAGGGCAATCATGGTTTTTGTGTTTGACACAAAGCACAAAAACGTAGGTTGTGATATGATTCTTTTTAGGTTTTAACTAGTACTTTTGTTAAAGGTGCTTTAAGAAAGCCGAATGTGTCCCCGTAAATTTGACTGTAATATGCCTTTAAAACAAAAGAGGAGCAACCAGATCTATACATGTTTTTATCATAGCCACTTTTGTGTTTGCAGAACATAAAAAGGCATTTCATGTTTATTAAAAAAACGTTTATATAATTCATAATACCTGTTACAGAATCCATCACATCTATCCAGCTGCACTCCTCCTGAACGGATGTGGGCGAGGCAGTGAGTTTGGATCGGCAGTAGTGAAGTGTTTTCCGTCCATAGAAGCTGTCATCTATCTCTATAACTTGACCAGAACCACACTGCAATGTTGCATTTTGGCCAGCACATGCGATAGATCTCCCAGAATCTAAAGGGGGAAAAATTATATAATTCTACAAATAGAGCAAACACAACATAAGTTTAATGGTATACGGCGATTTATTTAGGAATGCATACCAAACTGGCAAATGAAGTTGAGTTCCTGGCTACAGTTCCCTGTGGCTTCCCACTGGAAGCCTGAATGTCTCATAATATGTCCGCAGGCATCTTGTGCATCTGGCATGTTCATCCAGTTACTATAGCTGACATCTGAGCCATCCAGCCATGCAAGGGAACCTGGGAAAGGACCAAATTACACCATTTATCTTTTATCTTGAATTCTGTTACTTGAGCAAAATGCTGCAGAAGACATTGTCACTGCAGATGTTAAGACAAGGTAATTCTCCATATCTTTTCTCTCTGGTAAGTTAATTGTTAAGATGCAATTTAGGGACCATAAAACAAAGCAATGGATTGAGCTGGCTCTGTAAAGGGGAAAAAAAGACACATTTGTAAATCAGGCCACTTGACAGCAGCCCTATTGAAACGTTCAAATGAATGAGAATTATCTCTAATGACACCTGCTGCTTGAGGGAGATATCCAAATGTGCCAGTCTTCTAACAAATGTCAGTAAACAAACACATTAAAGAGGTATACAATGGAAATGCAAGCTGCCAGATGAGATAGCAGCTCAGGCGATAATCTTCATTTCTGACATGTTTCTCTCAGTTATTAGATAATCATTGATCACAGATGTGTAAAAAGATAGATACCAAAATGGTAAGTTTTCAAGAATATTGCAGGCTTTTATGAATAATATTTAGCACTTTTATGCCAGCTGGCCTATATCATAGCACTCAAATACATGTAATTTCACAAAAAATCTACATAGAGCCATTAAAGATCATGCTGTGTCAATTCCCCTGTCCACATGCCCCTCTCACCCTCAGTGGCAGCAGAGTCGAGCGTGAGGTTTGGAGCTGCGGGTGCCAGACCAAGCCACCAGTCCTTCCCCGGCTCCAGGTGCTTCTGAAGGAACTGCTGTGTTTCATCATTCAGGATGAATGCCAGGTGTCCCCCGCCTCGCTCACACCATTCTTGGGAACTGAGGAAGGATCGCTGCAGACCCACAAACTCATAGCAAGAGTCATCAAACCCCTCCTGGTGTTCTGGGCAGGAGAGAGCCTCTGTATCCTCCTCAGCATAACAAGCCCAGCTGAGGAAAAGAACCATGAGAGCCAGTGTGGACAAAGTGGTGCTTTCCATGCCTGCACCTGTACACTGGTGAGACTCTCTGGTAACATCACGTCTTTAAAGGGCACTGACGTCAGTGGCTCTGACACTCAGCTCTTTAGGATTATTTCTGACATTAGGATGACTTCCATGATTGCTGTCCAGCTTTGTGTTGTGGCCATAATTCTTGTGCACAAACAAAGCTCAGGCCTGTAGTGAAAGGGAACTAGAGCCCACTGTCAACAGCCACTAATTGCTCCTCTGCCTCCATTAATGTCGGGGTCCACAACCTGCAGAGTGAGATAAGCTTCTCATTCAGACTTGTTCCTACCATGAAAATGTCAATCCTAACTTTAAAAGGAGCCAGAGGCCTTGACTGTCCAATGGGTCTGTTGTTGTTCAGACTGATATGGTTGAACTAAAAAACATTAAAGCTAAAAGATGGAAGCCTTTACCTTTACATGGGGTTAACTCCCTAACTAAACATTAGTAAATAATTTGTTAAAATGTTACAAGCACAGGTGTTACTAATAACTTAACTGCATTTCATTTGTGTATGCCATTTTAAGACTATAGGCCTTTTTTCCTGGACGGAATTTCATGACATGACAGTAGGAAAGGTTAAATAAACTATTGCTGACTTCCATTTAGGTGCGTTGACTTCAGGGTCCTGGTACTGTGCATGTTGGCGCACTGCCACACGGTTGTGTCTTACTTGGACATTTTAATAGAACAGCACTATTGTTATTGTTGTTATCAGTAAAACTTGCTGTGTGAAGTCAAAATGGACCTCTTTCACAGCAGCCACGTTGACATGAAATGGTAGGGTAAACACAGCAGGTGTTACCAATGATACTAATTAAGGTTCTGTTCCCTTCAGGTCAAACAGAGTGTGTGTGCTGCTGTAGGCTCACCAGAAAGGCTCTGCTACACTAAATGGAGCTGGACCTTGATTATCTTAGATTTAATTATAATAATGATTAGTTATCATTGGTAACACCTGTGTTTACACTACTATTTCATGCAAAATGGCTGCTGCAAAAGACTTAACCTCCTTTATTTTAAGAAACAGCTTAAACAGATAGTTCTAGTTTGATATATAAATATAATAAAACCTCTAAAATTAAACCATAAGCAAAGTTCATAAAGGTCTGCAACTATTTTAATTTATTAACTTCAATACCTCAAAATCAATCACTCATTCCCAGTGTTGGGTTAGTTACTCAAAAAATATATTACTCATTATTCTTTTAAAACGTAATATAATTACTTTACTTATTACTCCCTGCCAACAGTACTTAGTTACACTACTACTTAAATTACTTTTCTGCCACTTCCCACAAAACTGGTAATTGTGTCCCTTACAGTGACTGGATTGTTGCAGAGTGACAACAGAAATAATATTGTAAGTGTAACTGTAATGTTATTACTGACGTTTATTAGTAATTAGATACACTACTAGTTACTGGGGACAGTAATATTATTACTAGTAATGAGCTATTACCCAACACTGCTCACACCTCATTGACTGAAACCCGTACAATACCCGGATGTTTGACGTCATATTAGTGAGCCGAATCTCTCTGAGGACATGACTTATTGAATAAACCAGTGAGGATTTTAAGAAACGTCCCACAGTTAACCGGACGCCGCACTTTCACACAACATGTGGGCTTGTAAAAGGAGCCTGAGCAGCACAGTGACCTCCGTCCTCCGGGTTCTCCGCAGTGATCCAGTAAATGCACTTTATTCGTCTCTGCGCCACAAGCAGCGCCAGTCTGTGATGCAAACAGCGGCTTGCTAAAGAAAACTTGACGCTGCTGATCGCTCCTCGTTTCTGCCTCCTCCGCAGGTCGTCGTTGTTTCGGGCCAGGTGCAGAGATGTCTGTCCACGCAGACGGACGGTGAGGTCCGCATCGCCAAGATACTGAAGGAGAAGTTTCCGTCAGCCTCGTCGCTCAAAGTTGTGGATATATCGGGTAAATGCAGAGTTATTTAGTGTGACACCACATCCGGTTTGGATGCTGGAAAAAAAAAAAAAAAGTGTATCCTTATTGTTTCCCCTCAAGTGAACCTGATAAACTGTGAAGTAATTATGTGTTAATTCTGTGTGAGCTTGTTCCAGCTCTTGACTGAAGTTGTGATGTTAACACTGCATGCAATGTTCACACCCCTAATACTTTACCTTTTCATTAAATTGATATATTCCAGATGTTCAATGCATCCACAATTTAGATTATTATTTAGATCTGTTGTTGGAAACCAGGTGGTCAAAACAAACATTTGGGAAATGACAGTGTTGTTTGTGTTGTTTGTGTTTTCCTCTGTTGTGTTCAGGTGGTTGTGGGGCCATGTACGAGATCCATATAGAGTCCAGTGAGTTCAAAGGAAAAAGGACAATCCAGCAACACCAATTAGTCAATCAGGTAAATCACTATAACAATCTGCCTGGCACCTTACCTGTGGCAGTGTAAAATAATGAGTAGAACAAATCTTAGTTATTTATTCTTTGTACTTAAATGTACTTGAGCTTGTGTGCTGTGGTCCATATCTGTCTGTCAACCATGCTTCTGTAATTTTACATTAGGGATGTACGATATGGATTTTTTTGCCCAGCCCATATGATAACCTCTTTCTCTTGGCCGATACCAATAAGATAACCAATAATTGCACATTTCTGTATTTTAAAAATAAGTAACATAAAGTTTGTGCTCACCTGATGGATGATTTTAATATTCCACAGATCTGTTTTAACCAAATCTAACTGACATCACTATTGTTAACACAAGATAAACAAACAACAGATCTGACTCTTTCTCAAATTTTCATTTATTTTTTTCTAGTAAAGTTGATCACGAACATAACATACACTGGCTTTCACAGAACATAAAGCCCATACAAATTCAAAATAAATGTGTATTACTATTATTAATGACTGATTATCTCCTGAACTTTAAAGAACATGTTTGTGATGAACATGTGTGTTTGTTGAAGCTGAATTTTACTCATTCACGTTGTGTTTTGTCCTCTGCAGGCACTCAAGGAGGAGATTCAAGGAATGCATGGACTGCGAATATTTACTGATGTTCCAAAACATTAGAGAAAGTCCATCCATGACTGAATGTACAGTTTTAAAGAGGATATTGTGTATTTAAGGAATTCCATGATAATTGTTAAGGTGCCAGTGACAGCAGGACATGTTGTCAGTTACACATTAACAGTGTGAAATGTGTAAGAAATGTAAGATTACACTAAGTTATCGTTTCTTTTTCTTTTTTTTAAGTAGTGACATATCTGCTACTCTACTCTGTATAAAACTGGTGAAGGCTACAATACGCACAAAATGACTAAATGCTAGTAAAATGTCAAGTCATGTAGATTTCTTCCCAATGTGGGGTCTTCTCAGGGTTGATAATGATGCTGGTGTAGTGATATGCATTTGAAGAAGTAATAAATACAACCATCCTGAATAGCGGAGGATTGCTACAAACCCAAAATCAGTTTGTGGAGCATTATTTTGCAATGCCACTAACACAATGATTTAAAATTGAATACTAACCTCTGAATTGCACATAGACCTTGTATTCCTAGTATCTATGCATTGATAATGCAAGTTGCTATAGAAAGCAGCTGCTTTCCTCCACACACTTCTTACTTGATTGACTATTGAGGATTTGTGATAAAAGCCATTTTAAACCATTTTAAGAAAACAGATGTAGCAATACTAGAATCAGTTTCTACATCTGGTCAAATTAAGCTTGGTGCCCATGAAATGCTCTGCCTCACTTTTATTTGTTATTCATATATTTATACAGATCATGTTAAATATTAATACTGTAAATATAAGTGTGCTGCTATCAGAGGCTGTTGGAGAGCAGGGACAATTTAACAGTCAGGAAAAAAATGGAAGCCAGCACAAACTAAGAGCCTCAACAATAGTTATTTTCCCATCTCCTCTTAAAACAATGGTACAAACAGTTGGCTGTAATAAAGCTGTTGACCACAGACAAAGCCTTACATAATGATATGCTGATTATACCAGCCAACATATTTTATTAGTGCAGATGTTGGCTGAAAATGTGAAAGGTAAATGTCAAAGAGATGAACTAATACAAGAACTCACCATACTTTGTACAACATTGAATGTATAGCCTACTTATCAATAGCAGTATTGGTTTCCAAAATATAGTGTGGGTCAGGCTCTACTGAGCATGCATAGGTGTTTGATGATGAAGGTTGCAGTGTGAAAAAAACAATATTTTATATTAACAAATCCAATAGCTTTGCAGGGCTCAAAATTAACTTCTTTACCTTAAATGTCCCACAACTCACCTAAATTCTGCTCTCATAATGTATCAGAATAAACAGCAATGTCCCAAATTGGTATTATTTTCTTTTTTCTTTCTACATAAAAAATATAGCTTAATAAGGTAGGGGTTTCAGTCACTCGCATCACTTTGTTGACTTACTCTGGTCCGCCATAGAAGTTCTGCTAGTTGTTCCTTACACTTATATCTCAATATAAAAAGAAATCACTCATATAATAATATTATAGAATAATTCATAATTACCTAATTGCACAACACTAGTTGAAGGAATTTAGTTGCATTGTGGATGCACAGTATGAGTTGCATTATCAGACTTTTAACACAGATAAAGTTTTGTACACACTTCACCAGCAGATGGTGCACTTTACACTTTAACCCGCTGCAAGCAGAGCCAATAAACAGGGTCGAATTCATTTCTTGAAATGGCAAACTGCATTTTAATTAACTTGTATCTCTGTGACCTGAACGGAAATAAAACATCACTGAGGACTTGAATTCCGGCTGATTGAATAAGAGTGCAGACGGTGCAGGTTTCAGGCTCCACTGTGGATCAGCGTCCATCCATCCAGAGGCTGCCTGTCTGTGCGCAGGCTGCACACCACATCACTCTGAGCCCCGAAGAGGAGCGGAGAGGCAGAGCAGCAGGTCTCCGACATGGCTAAAGAAGGAACAGATATGACGGAGGAAACCGAGTACATGATAGACAAAAACGTGGGGAAAGAAGCAGAAAACGTGGAATCGTCCGGCGATCCCAAAGAAATGCGAGCGGTGATTCTGGCAGGTTTTGGAGGTCTCAACAAACTCCGAGTAACCAAGAAGGCAATGCCCGAGCTTCAGGATGGGGAGGTGAAGATCCGCGTCAAAGCATGGTAAATATGACAATACCAGGAAATTGGAAACATTTTTTAAAATCTACTTATGGACTATGATGTGCTCTGTCCTCCCTGTTGCATTCCCACTCTACATTGTATTTCAGTCGTGAAGCCACAGGTTGAGAGGCTGGAGCTCATTCATGCCAAGCAAAATGAATAGAAAACTGTTGTCAGAACAAGCCAGCATTTCTCAGGCATTTTTAAATCTGAATTTCTATTTGATAATAGCTACATTCCCAAGGCATTGATTAGCTCCTTACTGTAGAAGATTACAGCTGAGCCAATTCCAAATATTGGCAAACTCAGAGTTAAGGAAATATTGTTTAATAGAGAATACCTGTTGAATCTGGCCTTGCTTGCATTTATAGAAATAGCTACTGACTCACTGCTGATAAGGAAATAAGTAGCACAAGGCAATCCCCAAGTCTCTTATAAAAGCTCATACTAAATGTTTGTATTATTGATTTAATAGCTGTCAGTGCTGATTTATATTCTAATATTCAAGAGGGATTTAATGTCCACAAACAGAAAGGTCTTATTTGTTCTTCATTGCAGCGGCTTGAATTTTCTGGATCTGATGGTGCGTCAGGGGACCGTTGATAATCCTCCCAAACCCCCTCTTGTCCCTGGGTTTGAATGCTCTGGAATAGTGGAGTCAGTAAGTGAAAACACAACAGGATTTGAGGTTAGTGAAATTAAACATTATAACTCTGTGATGTATGAATGAATGCTGTTGATGTTGTTGTTCTAAGCAACAAGATCTGCATCAGCAAAACTAGAGACAAGCACTGTAAGCCTTATAATGAGATATTCATTACAAAATAAACCATGATCTACACATGTAGTTTGTGAGTGTCTACTTGTTATCCAGCTACTCTAACATGTTTCTTTCAGATAGGCGACAGAGTTATGGCTTTTGTGAATTACAATGCCTGGGCTGAAGTTGTTTGCACGCCAGTGGATTTTGTCTACAAGATGCCAGATGAAATGAGTTTTGCCGAGGCCGCTGCCTTCTCCCTTAACTTTGTGGCTGCCTATATGATGCTGTTTGAGGTTGCCAATCTGCGAGAGGGGATGTCAGTGTTGGTTCACTCAGCAGGAGGTGGTGTAGTAAGTCTATATTTTATGTGAATTTGCACAACCACAAAATGAGTTCCACCATTTCATCCAGCTCTCTTTTGTAATGAGAGACAAGCAGTTAACCCTGTTGTTATAACTAAAGTTAACCCCTTACACAAAAGCATTATATAAACAGGAATATAATATAATTAGAATTAATACAGTGTAGATATTCTACACCACTGTATCTCGTTTTCTATGAATGTTTATTGTTTAATGGTGCATACTGTTTGTGTGGTATATTTAGAGTTAACCCCAGTGTTCTCAGGCACTGATAAATTGTTTCCACTGTTTGTTATTTTCAGGGTCAGGCTGTGGCTCAGCTGTGCTCCACTGTACCTAATGTCACCGTGTTTGGGATCGCCTCATGTTTCAAACACGCAGCCATCAGAGACTCGGTGACTCATCTCTTTGACAGAAACGTTGATTATATGCAAGAAGTCAAAAAGTAAGCATAGACTTTGTGTGTTGTTGTAATGGTGTATTTTGGCACCATGAATTTTCTAATGTTAAAAAAACACATAGAAAGGCATCATCAGGCAGGTTCGCTGTAGCATGTCATACATGTGAACTAATGTGATAACGTGGACTTCACTGAGCTTAGAGGGCTGTGGGAGGATGCAGATGTTACCTGTTGCCTTATTTGGTCTTGTGTGGCCATGGTTTCCATGGCAACACACAGCTCATCTCAGAGAGCAGCAGCATTGTGTAGGGCGGAGGTCTGCTCTGGCAATGTGGAACAACTGAGCCAATTAGGGCTGAGCATTGATACCCTACACATGCCATTCACAACACAGCACTCTGGTAGCCAGTTTGCACTACAAGGAAAACACCTCGTAGCAAACACTGGCTGAGATTTTAAGCAATATGACACATATTTACTGTGATTGTGCCATGAAATTATAATTTTGAAGATGTTGTGAAGCTCATCAGCATTCTGCCTCCTCTGCTTCTGAGAGATTTAGCAGGGATGTGTGGCTATACTACAGAGCCAGTCAAAACACAGGCACCATACATTTATAAAACACGCTGTATTTTATTCTGATTATATCAACAGATTCAAAAAATAGTTTTAATGAGCGCTGATTGTTCATGCTTTCTGCCTACATATCAGCAGTGGTAGTGGATTATTGTGCCTTTCATCTCTCTTGCCCACACATTCTTCTCAGGATCAAGAGCAAAGTACAATTAAATTACTCTTTTTAGAAAAGGCAAAAACCATGGGAATCACAAGACCACCAGGCGGTTTAGCCAAGCAGGTGTCCAGAGCCACAAGGCAGAAAGAAAGGAATTATGGTCGCCTTGATAACAACATGCCTTTCATTCTTTCATATCTGTGCCTTTAATGAGCCTCATTATGGCAAACTTTTGTTTCTGACTGATTCTGTGTGCGATAAGAACATTAAACCTATTTGTAACATGATATAAAGGATGTTTCTGATGAGGGGTAAAGTGGGCATTGCAAAACATCAATATGTTCTTCATAAGAAAACTGTAGGCAGAGTCAAAAGAAAAAACATGTGGGTTGGATACTGCAACTTTTTCTCAGAGTAATACTCCAGAGAATCAGTGCTCATGTCTTACGAATCCATGATTAGACAAAACCTGAAGCGGCTCCAGAGTATGAATCATAGACTGAATATATGGTCTCATATATATTAACAGACATATCACTGTAAATGTATGAAGTTGGCCTCCAATTGAACTTTTTATCAACGAAGAATGTCTGTGGATGAATTCTTCACATGCTCAGTAGAGCTGAAACTGTTAGGCCATTAACTGATTAGTAGATAGACAGAAAATAAATCTGCAGCCAGTTTAGAGCTGCTATTAATTTTCATTATTGATTAATCTGCTGATTGTTTTCACAATTAATCTTAAGTTTCTCCAGTGTGGAAGCTTTGTGCTTTTCTCTGTTTTATATCATTGCAAACTGAATATGTTGAAGTTTTAGACTGTTAAGTCATGTTTGATGAACTTGGGCTCTGGGAAACTGTAACTCTGGGCATGTTGACCTTTGACTAAATGATTAATTGCAAATTAATCAAAAATAATTTGTGATGTTCTTGCAGCTCCATACTCATACATGTATATCATACAAATCCATTTTTCAGTGGACTTCACCTTTATTTTGTTCTTTATTTTTTTAGGATTTCTCCAGAGGGAGTAGACATTGTG